CAAATTACGAAATGAAATTAATAAGTCAAATTACACAATTAATTGCACCAAAAAGGGCTCCATGGAACCATTTATGGGTTACATAAATTAAGATGGAAAGGAAATTCTGCAAATTATACACTTTCATTTTAACACAAATTGCATCAGATAACTAAGCAAATCAATAAATAATCATACAAGTAGTTATCTATCCATCTATCTGTCTGTCTACCTGTCTCTCTGTTATTTCGACTACTATCTACTAGTAATTCTCATTTTTATTCGGTATTCTTAATTATTCAACAAACTGTGTTTTGATGTTATTTTCGTCGTTTATTTTCTGATATGATTCGTGAAATGCACAAAAAGAGTAAGCGAATTTTACATTCTGTAGTCTTGCAATAAGAACTATACTTTGTATATTACGGATCTCTTGAAATGTAAAATATATCAATTTCTGAAAACAGACTCTTTTTTTCTGGCACAAAATACGTTTATTGTTATTTTAGAAAACATTGCCATCGACTTACGTTAACAAACCTAAGACTAGATTTATTTAGACTCTGAACGTTGTGTGACTTTCATTGTAGATTGTGGAGATCTGTCACTACTTTTCCTTAAAAAAAACACGGAAAAAGTTTCTTTCAAAAAAGACCGAAAAAAAAATTCAAAAGCTTGATATATTTGTCGATGGGTTACTGATGGCAACCAAAGGGCAATAGAGGGGATTTCAACAATGGGGGGAGATGCGGGGGAGATTTGGAAACTTTTTTTTGGGAAAATTTTACCAAATTGTGTCAAAAAAAGGTTTTTTTTTTCTCATTATTAAAATTTTGAAAATGGGGGGTTTGGGGCAGTGGTTTTTTTATTGAACAAAAGTATGTTACAGAGAGAAATAAAACATAGCAAATAACATCATTACTACTTATAATAATAAGTATAATCATAAGTTAAATAGGATTAATATCATTTTACAGTCATGATTTTATAAAAGATAAGCATAAAACTTTTTGCAAAAATTCTCAAAAAAGATGAAGACATGTTTCAAAATATATTGCAATATTAATTTAGACGAATTGACATTTTATTTTTAAATGTACATTCGTTGTTAGTGATTTGTAGCAACGTTTTGATGCTAACACCTTTTACGGTCATAATACACATTTTTGTAGACATCATAAATCGTATAAGCTATCACCTTCATATTTTGACATAAGAATACATTTGGAAGCAATTTTCATGTTTACATGTTGGTGTATGACAGAATCCCCCTGATTGTCATTGTCTCCTACACATAGTTTTTTTTTATAATTTTAGTAAAATCGTTTATACCTTCGCTGTAATGTTGAACATGTTTTAAACAATGTAAAATGTATTTTTGCAACAGGGCGGGTCACGTTACTATATCACATTTCTCTTATATTATAAAGTTATAAGTTTAAATGATATTTAAAACAAGCGTAATACGGATAAGGTACGCACGCTAGGAATTGACAACAGTTCCCTGTATGAGTGGTTGACTTACAAAAAGTTGCTTAATTCAGAACAATAACTGTTACAAGGATGACCTTTTGTATAATCATGAAACCTAGAAAACAATGTGGTATTTAAAGCAGCAGACCTCCAGATTCATGCTAATCTTGAAATTTTGAAAATGTATTAAAACGAAAAATATTGTAAAATGAACAAAGAAAATAAAGTTCACAATGCAAAAAGCACTTACAGCCCATGTAAATTATCAAATATAGGTAAAAAAATGCATTAATAGCCCTTACTGCGTTAGTTAGTAACGCAGTAAAAATATAGAAGAAAATACTGCAAAATCGGTCATAAATCGCACATAACATGGAAAAAATACTTTTATTTTGAACCATTTTCCTTTTCTTAAAATCTCAGTACTTAATTCTCAAGTTTAATTTTCTTGAAATATTTTGGTTCATTTGGAGACATGCAGCTTTAAGACCCCATTCATCTGAGACAGGATCGGACTCCTACTAAGAAAACATGCTTCCAAAAGCACATCGCTGAAACAACTGAATGTTCATTTTACTTGCATGGAAATGGTAGATGGTATTAAAAATGACACAGTCTATAAAACAACCTAATGATGTATCTTTGACACGTTTCATAAGTCATATTGCGTAAACTAGTCTCTGAGTCAAGATGAACACTTTTTCTACAATTGCAATTGGAATATCTTTGCTAGATTTTTAACAATTCTATATTTTTTCACCATGATACTTATTTAATTTGTTACTATTATTATCAGCTAAGTGTTACGGGACATACATCAGATCAAGTTTAATAAAGACATATAGTTATGAATTTCCATTTATCTATGGAATATGACTATATTAAAATAACGATAATTATATCATCCTTTTTTTTTATTCACGCACTAAATAAAAAAATATTTCGTCCCTTAAGTAACCCTATTTATTTTATTCATGATTTACCGTTAGAATGAAACACCATGTGTTAACCTTTTCCCTCATATGGACGTGTTTTGACGGATTTATGTCCCCCCCCTTTTTGAGGCCTCTGACAGTGAAAAAATGCCCTATTTAGGCCCCAAACACTGTTTTTCGTTTGAGAAATGTTGTTAAAAAGAGGGAGTGCCCCCTTCTGTTGGGGGGGGGGTTTGAAGGAGTCTATGACATCTAGACCCATTGACACCTCGACCCCTTGACACCTCGACCCCTTAGACATCTCGACCCCTGACACTTAGACCCCTAAGACACTTATACCCCTTAAATATACCGGACATTTCGACCCCTTAATTAATGTTTTGTTTTATTAGGAAAGACCGACCTTTTTTAAATATAAAAAACAAAGTAATGACTAGGTTAGAACATTTTCAGCCTTTTATTAATCATTTATGTATATTATTTACAAAAACAGTTACGCAAATAAATATGCATGTGCACACATTACATTGAAGTAACAATACATAGAATACGCAGACACTATCACTCTCTTTATATACATGTATGTAATAACTACAATATTTACAATATATACACTTTTTGAAACTGTATTTTTGTATTTCTTATTGAAAATCTTTTTCCAATTACACATTTCCTTGTCTGAATGATCAACGGAATTGTCATGATCAGGTGTTGCTTGATCTGAAGGAGCGTCACTGCAAATACTACAAGTGAACTGTACGACGCTTAAACGTTTACGTGCCTTGTAATATCGATTCTACTGATACCTGCAAAATATAAATTTTTCATCTTATAACAAAATTTAAAAAAAGTATGTTTTATTGATAATACATGTATATACCATTCATTCTAATGACCGGTAATCGGATTAGTATCGGCACGCGCCGGTGTTAATCCAATTTCGTGTTACTGAATAAACACATACATGTATGACCGATAATTTGATTTAACGGCACGCGCCGGTGTTTATCCTATCACGTGTCACTGATTAAACACATACATGTATGACATTAAACCAGCACACGGGAGATGTATGATGATAATTTTTATTATAATCATTTTTTGTGGTCGAAATATGTATGAAAATGATTAAATGTGTATCAAAAATAAATCCTTTATTATTTAATTGTTTTAATTAGATACAGTTTGAAGCACGCTCATTCTAATTTTCACCGTTACGAATTTTAATTCTTTTAGTAGTGAGTCATATATATTTTTTTGTAAATATCTGACAGACCAAGTCAATAAATATATCTTCAGCTATATCATTTACCTAAAATTACTGATAGCTTTTTTTTTTATTTTGATAAATATGGGGGTCAGCTTCCGTAAATTATTATGCAGTCAATAATTACATTTCCGTAAACTATTACACACAATTCAATATTTCATTTAGTATAAACGTTCATTGCCAATGTAACATTATTATGTCTTACAAAACAATAAACTGAAGTTTACATTTTTAGTTATTATTAATACGACTTTCGTATGAATTATATGTAAATGGAAAAATGAAACATTACTCACCAGTGTTGCAGGTTCTGTGTTGCACCTTCTCACAAATGTCACATGTAACGGCATGTTGTAAAGGACGACAGTCTCCTTGCGCGCAATACACAAAACGGACATTATCATTTAATAAATTAATATGATTATGACAAATATACACACAAAAAGAAAAGTATGTAATAATATTCCTTCACTTATTTATCAGGCAATATTAATAGGAAACAAAAAACTATTAATAAAACTGAAATGTTGTAGAAAATACGCGTTTTCATGTATATCTTCACAAGTTTGAGTAAATAATATTTATAATTTATTAAAAAAATGTGTGTTAATTATTAGCAAAGGCTTTCCATAACATCAAAGATTATTTATAACGCGCGATGTTACATATCTAATAAATAATTGTTACTTAATGCACTAATGACGAAATTATAGATAAGCACCATTACATTAAACCACGGGACTTTAATCCGATTTTAGTCCGTAACGAAACAGACAGACAGACAGAAAACTTTATTTTCACTCAAGGTATTACAAATACAACATGAGGATGTATGCAAATAACACAAATTAAGCAATATATGGTTCCGGTAGAGATCAGCAATAGAAAAAAAGGGAAAAAAATAAAATAGAAAAACAATTATTTATGCATTCAGTATCATATATCATATATCATGGGGGAATTCACTCCATAAATACATAATAGAACAATTTGTTTATTAATCACCAAAATTAGATTTAAAAAAATTAAATTTTGCAACTGATATTTCAGAAAAAGAAACAAATAAATTTAAACAAAAATCTTTAAGATTATATATAAGTCTTACAATATTTTCAAAATATATTTACGGTTCTTTTAAAGTCCAACATTTAAAACAGGGGTCGAAATGTCTTAGTTAGTAGGGGTAGAAAAGTCATCTTACAAGGGGTCTAAGAGTCAAGGGGTCTAGATGTCATCTTAATATCCTAAGGGGTCGAGAAGTCAAGGGGTCTAGATGTCTTACTTGCGTTTGAAGGTGGGCGGCAGTCCCCCTCATCGCCAAGAAAATTTTGGACAGGCTAAAGATGGCCTCAGGTCGATCTAAGGGTAACTAGTAACCGACGCTGAAAAGCCTTTTACTCTATTTTAATTCATTCAGAAGTTGCAGCACTTTAAAATCAGTTTTGATGGAAAAATCAAATGCAAAATCGTGATTTTTGGCAAATTTGAGACGTCCCCACGTTGCCATGGTAACATGAAATTTACAATTGAGCATGCTGTTACAGAGGCTATAGCCTAGTGAACATTTGTGCCAAGTTTCATCAGTATTGAAGCATTTTTCGTAGTTTCATAGCAGTTTGAACTTGTTACAGGAGGTTTTTCAATGAAAACAGCCATTTTTCGCAATACGCCCATGGGGTAAAAGGGTTAAATAAAGTTTAGAAGGTAGCATTATGTAAACAACGAATCAAGCTGTAAAAGTCTAATTTCTGTACCCAATAAGTACAATAAAAACGTTTGAATTGTTATTTCAAAACAGTCATAAACAATGGAATACCAAGGCTTTACACTTTGAAAATGTTAAATTCTTCAAAAAGAATTATTAAGATGCGCTGCATATTTAAACTGAAGTTGGTCTTGAAAAATGAACTAAAACAAAAAAGAAAACATATTTTCAACTTTGGATATCGTATTAATCATGAAAACATGTACACAGCCAGTGCAGGGGTTATAAAATTTTTATACAAAGTAAAATTTGATAATTTTAACAATCTGTTACTTGATTTTACCATTCCTGTGACTAAAATTGTATCATTGAAATGCATAAACACATGGCTTAAAATAATGTATTTTCAGACTGCGGACCGATTGAGAAACTTTACATCAATAATACTGCATCTGTTGTTTTATCGCCAACAAACGATACGACATTTGAATCATCTGCTTTAGTCACATGTGATGTTGGCCATGTGGTCGCCGATAGGGATAATTTCCAAAATCAGTTCAATTTGACATGTGGACAAGATGGGAAGTGGAACGAAGTAAAAGATTGTATCAGAATTGGTATAGTATTTTAAAAATAATGTTTGTCTTACATTTTTTTCCAGTTCATTATTATTTCGATCAGCATCAAGTAATTTGTAGAACAACTGTGCATTTATTCGTAGAATACGATGTTATTGTAGTTCACACAGATAAATTCAGAAAATTTACAACATTGAATTCATTTCATGGTTGTAAAATGTATTTTTCATTCAAGATTGTGGAAACCTATCATCACTGAATCTCTCAAACACGGAAAAAGTATTGCTTCAAAAAGATACAAAATACACTTCAACAGCTAATATATCTTGTCAGATGGGATATACTAATGTCAACCAAAATCAGACAGAGGGAATTTCAACAACTGAGGTGATATGTAGCGAGAATGGCACTTGGGAAAATTTACCAAATTGTCGCAAAAAGGGTATTTAACGTTATCGAACATATTCAAAACTTGACATTCGTAGGTAGGGAATTTTTTATATGAAAGGTTTATCAACAACACAGGAATGTTATACGAGACATAAAAAAACGCATATTGCATCATTTATATTTATTTTACAAAATAATCGACAAAACCAACAACAACAATAACAACAACATTAATAATGATGATGCTAATAATAACAACTTCTTTCAAACATCAAGAGTAAAATGGAAATCAAAGATATCTTAAAATGGCTAGTAAGTTCTTATTTTGAAAAAAAAGAAAAAAAGAAAGAAAACAAAACAATAAACAACGTACCTCTGAACAGCAATTGCGTTTGTATTTGTTAGTAAATAACATTGGTTCCTAAAAAGAATCAAACGTAATACCTAATCTGTTCAAATAACCTTTTTGTCGTTTACTGCTAGTTAATTTACGTGAGACAGAGAATTAAAGATAATGAGACCAACTTTGTTCTTGCTATGATTGTTATGAACTTTTGCGTGTAAATAAAGTTTTGAATATTCATATTTAACAAAGTTAATTTCATCATTAATAACCCAGCATCGATACTTGAATGAAAAACATCTTTTGTACATTTATTACAATAGTTTTTCTTTCAAATCTAATACAAATAAAATATGAGCGTAAATGGCTAATTTACTAAAAATAAATTAGCATTCCGGTATAAAATTTAAAATTTTCTCTCTCCATGTCTCTCTTTTTTAAGAAAAGTACGAAATGTTCTGTAAAGGAATACTAAGTATATTTTTACATTTTCTTAAACCAATCGTAATATAAAAGTAGCTTTGGCTATAAGAAATATTTCTTGAGTTTACAATGCTTTTCCTGAAAACGACTGACGAAAATGCCTGAATTAATGGATAGGTTGTTGCAAAACTAACGTTTAAGATCGGTAGCTGAAGTATTGCTTCGGTTGAACGACTTCGAATTCAATGATTTGTCAAGTTAATTAAATATGAATGTACAATAAAATAATCCGTTTTATAATTTCCTTTCTGTACTTATTAACCTTTTATACATATATTATTCTAACCATACTAAATATTACACAATTTCGTACTGCATAAACAGTGTCATGTTTTATATCCTTAAGATTGTGGAAATGTTCAGAATGTAAATATTAAGCATGCAGCTAATAGGACACTTTTGAATGAAAACACTAAATACAACGGTACGGCAGAAGTCACGTGTGATTTAGGTTACTACGATACATATCAAAACCAAACAACGGGTGTATCAAAACGCACAGTACTATGTTCCAACACGGGAAAATGGACAAATACTCCCAAATGCGTACCAAAAGGTAAACTGTAAATGTGATCATAAGTTTCATAAAACTTAAACATGCTTATATAACTTCAAACATATTTCATCGACCGTACATATATATCGATTATCAAATTGAACAGCAATATGTGCAAAGTATTACAAAAAATTAAATATTATCAATTTCAAAGATTTCTTTTTAATATGCATGAAAGACTAATCTTTGCATATGTTCATTGATCAACAATGAACTATTTCTTTATTTAGATTGCCATGATGTTAAAGACATCGTCATAGTTCATGCAACACAAAGGCGTTACAATGACACGAAATTCAATTCTACAGCAGAAATAGATTGTAAAGATGGATATTACGATCCAAGAGAAAATCAAACACCTGCAACATCAACTACTATAATCAGATGCTCTGAACAAGGATCTTGGACCAACATTCCTAACTGTATACGTAAAGGTATTCTCAATTGTTCAACAAATTCAATGTTCTTTTCATTGTAAATATTCTGCTATGATGCGTGAAATGCACGGAAAGAGTAAGCAGATTTTACATCGTGTTGTTTTGCAATACGTATCATACTTTGCATATTACGGATCTCTAGATATGTTAAATATATCATTTTAAAATATTTTTATTTTATATCAATGACTTTGTTCTGTCACAAAACACATTTATTGATATTGTAGAAAATATCTCTATCATCTTTTGTTAACAAACATTAGACTAGATTTATTAAGACTCTGAACGGTTAAAGATATGACTTTCATTGTAGATTGTGGAGATCTGTCACTACTTAACCTTACAAACACGGAAAATGTATCTCTTCAAAATGACACGAAATACAATTCAACAGCTGATATATCTTGTCAGACTGGATATACTGATGGCAACCAAGGTCAAATAGAGGGCATTTCAACAACTGAGGCGAGATGCAGCGAGATTGGAACTTGGGAAAATTTACCAAATTGTGTCAAAAAAGGTATTCTATGTTTTTTTGTTATTTATAAACACGATGGCTATAATTTGTTTTTTTATATGAATAAATATCAACAACAAAAGAATGTAATAGATAGATATAAAACGTTCCAAATAACATTTGTGAATAATTGACAATAAACGTCTACAACAACAACACTTACTATGATACTAAGTATAATAGTAATAAGTGTAATAAAATTGATAATAATATTTTATAGCAATGATTATATACATGTATAAGATAAGCTAAATACATTTTGCAAAAATTCTTAAATAAGATAACTACAAATTTAAAAATATTTGCAATTATATAAATTTTGGCGAATTGACTTTTTTGTCAAATGTATAGTCGTTCTTAGTGACTTGAAGCAAGTGTTCGACATTAAAACCTTTCACGGTCATAATACACATTTTTTGTAGACATCATCAATTTGATAAGCTACCACCTTCATATGTTGACATAAAAATACAAATGAAAACAATTTTCATGTCAAGATGTGGTGCATGAAATTATCCCCCTGAATGTCGTCATTGACTCTTATTGTTTTAGTTTAATCGTTTCTTGCTTTGCTGTAAAAATATCTTTAGAATGTTTTAAAGATATAGCGTTGCACTTGTCCGTCCGTACGTCCCGAAATCTTGTGAACGCAACTCTTCTTAAACCGGATGGCAGATTTTGCTTAAACTTCCAGAGATGAACAACCTTAATGTGTAGATGGTAGTAAAGGAAGGAATTTTCGTTGCGAACAAATTAAACAGAATTATGTCCCTTTGTTGATTTTTTCTCTATATACTATGTAGAAATTTTGTGAACGCAACTCCTCTTTTACCGGGTGGCAGATTTTGCTTAAACTTCCAGGGATGAACAATCTTAATGTGTAGATGGTAGTAAAGAAAGGAATTTTTGCTGCGACCAAATTTAACAGAATTATGTCCCTTTGTTGATGTTTTCACTATATACCATATAGAAATTTTGTGAACGCAACTCCTCTTAAACCGGATGGCAGATTTTGCTTAAACTTCCAGGGATGAACAGCTTTAATGTGTAGATGGTATTAAGAAAGGAATTTTTGCTGTGACCAAATTTAAATTATGGCCCTTTGTTGATTTTTTTTCACTATATACCATATAAATAATTGAACATATAAATTTTACATTTGTAATTTAATTTAACATGTACATAAGGTTACCTGTAGATCATTTTAGGTATATGTACAGAAATGAAACAGTGGAATGAAAAAGTACCACATAAAAATCTTGCCTACAGATATGCATGCTCTTGTTTACGAGCACATCTGCACAGTGGGGGCATCCGTGTCCTTTGGAGCACAGTTCTGGTTTATTTATCTATGGATTGTAACTATTGAAAATAACGATAACTATATCATCCACTCTTATTCACCTACTTAGTATACAATATTTCGTCGGTTAAGTTCCCTATTTATTTAATTCAGTAATGTACTGTTAGAATGAAACACATGTATTAAATAAAGTTACGAAGGTAGCTTTATGTAAACAAGGAATCATGCCGTAGAAGTCAAATTACTGTACCCAATAAGTACAATGAATAATTGTTATTTCAAAACAGTCTTAAACAAGAGATCACCAAGGGTTTACAATTTGAAAATGATTAATTCTTCAAACAGAATATAAAAGATGCGCTGCATATTTAAACTTAGGTTGGTCTTGAAATAAAGTAAAACAAAAATGAAAACACATTTCAACTTTGGATATCGTATTAAACATGAAAACATGTACACAGCCAGTGCAGGAGTTTTAGGTTATTATTCATACAAAGTAAAATTTGACAATTTTAACAATCTGTTTACTTGATTTTAATATTCCATGACTAAAATTCTATCAATTTAATGCGTAAACACATGACTTAAAATGATGTTTTTTTCAGACTGCGGGTTAATTGAGAATCTTAACATCAATAATACCGAATCAGTTGTTTTATCGCCAACAAACGATACGACATTTAAATCATCTGCTTTAGTCACATGTGATGTTGGCCATGTTGTCGCCGATAGGGATAACTTCCAAAATCAGTTCAATATGACATGTGGACAAGATGGGAAGTGGAACAAAGTGACAGATTGTGTCAGAATTGGTATAGTATTTTAAAATAATTTTTTTCTTACAGTTTTTCCAGACATGATAATTATTTCGGTCAGTATCAGATAATTTGCAGAACCTCTGTCTATTAATACGTCAAATACGATGTTATTGTAGTTCACACAGTTAAATTGATAAAATTTAAATCATTGACTTCATTTAATGGTTGTTAATATATTTTTCATTCAAGATTGTGGAAACCTGTCGCCACTGAACCTCTCAAACACAGAACAAGTGTTGCTTCAAAATGATACAAAATACACTTCAACAGCTAACATATCTTGTCAGATCGGATATACTAATGTCAACCAAAATCAGACAGAGGCTATTTCAAGAACTGAAGCGATATGTAGCGAGAATGGAACTTGGGCAAATTTACCAAATTGTGTCAAAAAAGGTATTTTACGTCAGCAATATTTTTTCAAAACTTGACATTCGGTTGGTACTCAATTTTTATATGAAAAAAATATTAACAATAGGAGAATATTATACAAGAGTTATAAAACAACGAAAAGTACATTATTAACCAGGTTTTCCGAAGGAAAAAACTAGTTATTATATTGAGGTATGTCGGCGGGCAGACGGGAGGATCGGCGGGCGGGCGGGCGTAAACTATTTCTTCTAAGCGCAGCTTCTCCTACATTTCTCAACGGATTTTGACCAAACTTTCATAAAAGCTTTGTCATCAAGTCAAGTGCCCTGGCGCATATTGTCGGGGTTTTGTGATTGGATAATATTTGACCTAATTATGGCCCTTTGTTGTTTTCCTAATATAGAATATATTGTGAACAATTTCTTCTGTGTGCAACTCCTCCTACATTTCTCAAGGGATTTTGTTCAAACTTTCACAGAAGCTTTGTCATCAAGTGCCCTGATGCATATTGTTGGGGTTTTGTGACTGGATAATTTTTGACCTAATTATGGCCCTTTGTGTTTTCCTTAAATAGAGTATGTAGTGAACAATTTCTTCTGTTACGCAACTCCTTCTACATTTCTCAAGGGATTTTGTTCAAACTTTCACAAACTAGCTTTGTCTTCAAGTGCCCTGATGCCTTTTGTCGAAGTATTGTGATTGGATGATTGGATAAGTTTTTACCTAATTTTGGCCCTTTCATAAAAAACTTAATTTAGTTATAAAACAGAAACTCTCTAGGTTGTTGCATGTCTGCCAGCTTATCTGCCTGCTTTTGGATCCTGTAGAGTCAAGGTCAATGTCATTTTTGCTTAAAACAGAAAATCTGTTTCCAGTCAGATCAATGTTACTAAAAATAGAAAAAAGGTTTCTGGTCAATAACAAGTTTGGAATAAGATATTTTTTATGAAAATTGGTGTGAAACAAGTTTTTATAAAGACCTCACTTGAGATGGACTTTTGGCCCCCAAAGGTCAAGGTTACAGTTACTAAAATAGAAAATTCATTATTCATGATTTACATTGCACAAAGTTACATTGTTTGTCGTTTGTATTTCAACTACATCATATATATCTGCAATGGTGATAATTTAAAACCTGGTTTCATGGCATTGCCATGTTTCTAGTTGTTTATATTTATTTTACAATATTGATCATAGTTTTAACAACAACAAAAAAAAAACAACCATTACAACAATGATAATAGGAATGATAATCATATAATTAATGTTCAAGAAGAAAGACTTTAAAAAAACATTTTGTTATAAGGTTATGTGTCGAATATGTAATTAATTAAATCCTTAAACTTTCATAAGACAAGTATAATTATCGAAATATATTTTGATGCGATCACAAAGTAGCCAGAATTAAATGTATACATCTGTGAAAATATTGCAAGAAATTATGACTTTTTTATCAAATTGAAAAGTTTTTTATTATGTGTAGCTGCCTTGCAGACGTCATCGCCAATCACTGTAAAAACATGAAACACTTTGTTTAATTTACATGTACAAATCTGGCTAATTATTTTTGAAGTCATGAAATTAATGACCTTGTAACATAATTTCTTGTAGAAGTGGAACAATTTTTCATTTATACATGTTAGTGTATAACATTTTCCACTAAATGGTCTGATTTTTATGCTTTGATTTTAAAGTTTAGTTGCAATCATTTACAGAATTGCTGTATAATATTTGGGATAGGGAAATTCAATTTCTAAACTTACAAATATATACACAGCATGGAAAAGAATTCGTACACGCCATTTGACGTCAGATATGACGTCCATAAACCAAATGACCTCGAAAATTACTTCTACGCTCAATGTGATTAAACATAATTTAATCATTTCTTTTTTTATATCATGTTTAGATGGATATTCATATTTATTTGCATGCACTATAGTGTAATAATACACTGTTTATCCTTCAAATGCTTTGTTATTAATCGGCCTTCATGATTATATTCCGGCGTATTTGAACACGAGCCGTGAATAAGTCAATCAATATACTCAAAATGGTTATCTATATCCTAAATAACACATCATTTTCATTTTCTAAAGCTTCAGTTATCAAAGTATTCTTTTCTTGCCACTGTTGTGCTAATATAGTATCATTTATTGCCATAAAAGGTTTTGTGTAATTTTAAAATATCATGTTTACTTTGTGTGTCGATGTCAGCATCGATCACTTACATCAGGCAATGTTTTGCAAAAGGTACCTCTGAACAAAACTTTTGTATTGGTTTGTATTTGTTTGTAAAAAAAATAAGTTCCTAGAAAAACTAAACATAAGGATAAATTTGTTCAATGACCTACCGTAGGTTTGTTGTAAATTAACATACTAGGACAAAGAAATTAAGTTTATCAAACATACTTTGTTTCTGCTATGTTTGTTTTTTTATCATAGTATTTGTTTAAATCTTATAAAAATGAACTAAACAGACATGCCACACAAACACGAACATTCAGTAATTATTTATTGCAAATGTTTAGTCTATATGCCTTCATCAGTGCAAAACAATTTTTTTTTTGTTTTTATACAAATGAACTGAAACATGATCGTAATGGCAAACTTACAGTAGATTCGCACTCTGGTATAAAATTAAGAATACTCTCAAAAGCAAAAGACAAAGAAAAAATGGGAAAGGAAAAAAGTAAAGTTCTGTAAAAGTATATATATACATTATATACGTACTATCCGAGGAACTAACCGTTCTATGGATTGATTTTTCTCTTGATCTTTAAGATTGTGGAGACGTTCAGAATGTCAGGATGGAACATGCAGTTAATAGGACTCTTTTGAATAATACCACCAAATACAACGATACGGCAGAAATTACGTGTGATTTAGGTTACTACGATATTGATCAGAAGCAAACAACGGGTGTATCAATACGTACAGCACTATGCTCGAACACGGGAAAATGGACAGATACTCCCAAATGCGTACCTAAAGGTTAACTATATAGTCTACTTAATATATGTTTTTATGAAATTTTGATTATGCACGTATTATATTAAAGGGAGACACAGGCAAAATTTTCATTTCTTAGTGTTGAAATTTCGTTCATTATTCTGTAAAAAACCCTCACCATGAATATATTAGACAGTCAGACAGTCAAAGGAACAAAAATTTCTCCATATAAAGAATTAAATGGTGGTTTCCTAACTTGACCCGCGTGGGTCAGATTACAGCGCTAGCATTTCACAAAAGTTGTCAAAGTGAACACTGAAAACGTTAAAGAACATGTCAAATGAATGACTTAGGCTTGTTTCAATCATACAATATCCACAATATCTGTTATTGTAACTTCAATGCTTTGTTCAAGTCACCTGACTTGTTTAAAAGCTATTTGGTGATTCTATTGGTGTCTTAATTTTGTTCAACATATATATTTACGCTTCAAACCTAAAATATATAGAATTTAAACAGAAATTCATGCTGAAACTTCAAGAAAAATCATTTTAGCGTGATTTGAGTACATAAGATCATTTTAATATTTTTGTCATAATTTTGCCTGAATATCTTTTTAAATTCAACCATGTAAAAGTGAACAGCCGAAAGCGCAAAGTATAATACAAAAGTGAACCTTATTATTTGTTCCATCTCTCTTTTAATATATATAAAATACTTAGCAATTCATGGTTTCACTGATAAACATTAAAACTAACTTTAATACTGACTGTCTTCTTTATCAGATTGCCATGATGTTAAAGTCATCACCATAGTTCATGCAACACAAAGGCGTTACAATGACACGAAATTCAATTCTACAGCAGAAATAGATTGCGATGATGGATATTACGACCCAAGAGAAAATCAAACAACTGCAACATCAACTACTGTAATCAGATGTTCTGAACAAGGAACCTGGACCAACATTCCTAACTGTATACGTAAAGGTATTCTCAACTATTCAGCTCTTCAACGCTTCAAGAACTTTGTGATTTAGGGGGATATAACTATACAATAATTACTAGAACAGTTAACCTCATTTACTGAGAACACGGTTATAGCAAACTTCCGGTTATACGTAAGAATTTTTTTGGCCCGAATTCTGCCCTTCTTTATTGAATATAAAAGTATGGTTATAGCGAGCGAACACGGTTATAAGGAATTATCACTTATTAGGAACTTATTTTTTTTAGTCCCAATTTAGTTATCTGTGGAAAGCTCACGGACTTTCTTATTCGTTTTATCGGTACGGATTAAAACTTGGCCGAATGTACCGATTATTGTTGTGTGTACTTCACACTTAATTTCGAAGGCAGTTCGAAATAACTTTCTATTTAGGATATTACGGCCGGAAGCCGTCTGTTTTCTGCAATTTAACGGGAAGAACTGAGTATATGTAAAATTTTCATTTTGAAACTACAATCTGAAATTTCGGAGTCTGATTGGCCATGATGATTGTAAAATTAGTGAAATAACATAAAAGAAATTTCTGACACGGTATACGCGTCTCATTTGTCATAAATCTAAAGGAGTTTTGGAAACGAACTATCTACATTCATACGTTAATTAACTTGATTTAAAGTTATGCTTAACAATACATTCTTCTACGCATTATAACTCTGTATTACCAAGCGTTCTGCTACAGATTATTTTACGCTGCTTTAATGATATATAAATTTTGTCTAAAATGACGAATGACGTTCACGATCCCGTCTACTCATGCGCATGAAAATAGCGAAAACACACAAGAAAACGAACGTATGCGATATAATCAGTTATATTTGTCAAATTGATATAAAGTTTATTATTTGCATGTATTTTACATATTAATAATGTATTTATATAACCGCTAACGACTGAATGATTTGTTTTCTTATATAATTTATAAATTTTCGTCAAAGTATCTTTAGATTAGAAAGCTGACATTCGTTTCCTTTTGGGATTTTAGGTTTCTTTCGTTATTTCCAAACGAGTTGCAAATTTTTTGATTCGGGTATTTTGTATCGTCATTAATAAATTTTCTATCAAAATTTCGATTTGATTAAACTTCAATTACTTAAATATTTTGCATTGAGCTAAGCTTAACGACATTCACAGTAATAAGCATAAAATAATACATGACGGTAAAAATGAAATGAAACGAAGAAATCCATCTTTGACTTATTTTTGTAAATCAAATGTCTTAAAAATTGAAGACGATGTAAACAAAATATGTACGCTTTAAAACTCCTGATTCAAGGAACTATTATGCTTTATGCTTATAAGAAACTCTAGATATAAGGAACATATTTTGAACGCCGCAATGAGTTCGTTATAAGCGGAGTTTACTGTATTATAAAAGAAATAGATAACATTAAGCACAAGATGCATATGCGTTCCTAATGGATAATAATGGTTGAATGAATTCAAAAGTTTATATACTCAAAATCAACCAACTGCAACATTAACTACTACAGTCAGATATTCTAAGCAATGAATCGACATCCCTAATTGTATATATCAACTATTTCAACAACATCACTTTTTCCTCAAAATAAATGTTAGTAAATGAATATAAATGTTCTGCCATTGTGTATAACATACACGGAAACCGTAAGCGAAATTGATATCTAGTCCTTTTAAATTACTGTGTCTTTTTGTTTCAGATTGCGGATCCCTTGAAATGTTAAATATATCACATGCTGCAAACAGACTCATATTTACTGACACAAACTACGGATCCAGTGCTGCTATAACATGTAAAACAGGGTACTATGATAACAATAAAGCCCAGTTGAAGGGGGTATCATCCACACTGATGAAATGTTCTGAGAACGGAACGTGGGCAAATGTACCAAACTGTGTCAGAAAAGGTATCTTTTAGATATCTTAAGTCTAAAAGCGGCTCACGTTACATTAAAGCTATGTTAAGAAACCAAACTATTTTCACATTAATACATTAATCAGTTATAGATATATGAGTACATTAGTGTCATAAGGTAACATCAATCTGATTAAAAATGCTACGCATTAGGATCTGACGATTGGTTGCCACGTTTTCGTGAGTTTCAACACAGCCAATCATCGGCGAGCATCCGCAATTTTAAAAGCGATTCGGTTTCTTATTTTAACCGCTGGAAAACAAATACTGGGAAAGGTAATTTTCTCGATTTCGAGAACAAACATGGCGTTGTCCATATAAACGGCAGTTAAACTAGCCCATTAAAATTGAGTTTATTCTTTCTTTGTTTCAAATTTCTTGAAACAATTTTCTTCTCACAAAAATCAACAATTAGTTTTACTTCCTCGGACAAAGAAATTATTGATATTTTGTCTATTGTCTATCTGTAAAATTCGATTTGACTGCATGGCAAAAATAGCTTTCTCGGAGAAATTAGAATCATATTGATGGCGGCATATATACGATGGTTATTAGATCTACATGTAAAAAGTAATTAGATCTGAACTTTAGTCAGACAGAACGAAACATCTTTATGCAATTAAGACATTATATCATCATGATTTAAGTAGATATGTTATACAACATACTCCCTAGTATCGACATAAACATTGATGTTATACTGTTTGGACTAATAAAAAGAAATGAATATTACTTTATCGGCAGTTGAAACAGGTACCAGCCTTTTTAATGATGGAAATTATATCATCCATACTGCGAACATGAATAATTAAATGATGCCATGTATATGTACATCAAATTTTACTATTTTTTTAAATTAAGGTCTTTTCAATTATCATGAAAATTTGGTGAGTTGTTCTGTGTTTTTTTTAACCATTTTGCATTTTAATCTTTCTGAAAGGTGAATGTGTTATATGTGGGTAACGATAAAATAGATTGATAACCACAAGTTAAAACAATTTGAAAATTTTTGTTCCATTTATCTTTCTTTATTCAGATTGTGGAAACCTAACAGATATCAAGATAACTAATGCCGTTCACAGACGTCTACATACAGATACAAAATTTAAATCAATGGCTGATATAGACTGCGATGACGGATATTATATTAAAGGTAGAAATCAAATAGCTGGAATATCCACCCAAACCGTAGCATGTTCTGATACAGGAACATGGACCAATGTGCCAGAATGTGTTCCTAAAGGTATGAAACAATAATCTGTTATAAATTAAAAAAATATAAAAGTCTTAAAGTCATGTTTAAATGTCGAATTCTGCTTAAGCCGGTGCTAGCGGGCGTGGACGGTTACTTGCACTTTCCAGTACCGTCCATGAACAGGCTCAATCAAACCGAGCCTGCAACATTTTCAATTTTGCCGTGTTGGGCTTTCTTTAGGGATTCTGTATTTATCTATTTCCTACAGACATGAATGATTCTTTTTTTATATAAAGTTATATTGTATTGTAATTAAATATGTCTGCCTTCAATAAAAGATATCATAATTTTTTTTTCGAGAAGAATTTGTTTAATGATAGATATTTTCGACAATTGTTTTAGATTGTGGAAGATTGAACAAATTAAACTTGTCAAATGCTGAAAACAGGAATCCTATCAACGGAACCACAATTTATACGTCGCTGGCAAATATAAGTTGTGATGAGGGATATAAGGAGTTAAATAGAAGTCAGGTACTAGGAATAACATACACTGTGGTTAGATGTAACGAAAACGGAACGTGGGCAAATCTACCTCAATGTGTCAGAAAAGGTATTCATTTATAAAACTAAGATTAAGCTATTTTGTTACACTGTTATATTTTTTTTATAATTTACCGTTGTATGTAGTGCATAGTTTGTGTTTGTAGTATATGCTTATAAACAGATGTGTAAAAGAGATGTAGCTGAAAAAAGAAAATGAACTTTCTTTCACTATGATTAAGTAAATATACTTAATATAGGGGCTATTATTGAGATCTTGAGTAACTTTAATTAAATTCGAATTCAATTTAGAAATAGATAATATTCAAATGTCAGACACAACTTTTAGATTTTGAATTATTAAAGGATATTTACCAAAGTATTGTGAAATCAAAAATCTGTACATCACCAAAAGTTGTTTTTTTTTTTTGGTTAAGATATCAATGTGTTTAGGTTAATTCCTAAAGAATCTGAACTGAATGACATCTACAAAGCTTTTAAATAATGTTAACCAAAAGTCAGAACATGACATTGCCAACTTACTAGATTTACAGAAAACTGCTTGTTTTATTATTTCTATTTGTTTATCAGTTAAGTTCATACATGATTAATAGCTTAGGTCATGTTATATTGCATTATATTTCAAAAGTTTCTCATCTTGTTCTTGTGTTCAGATTGCGGACCTGTCAATCAACTTCACCTAAAAAACCTTAACCTAGCATCAGTACAACTACATGATGATACCAAGTTTAACTCTACAGTAGATGTACTTTGTGATGGTGGTTACTATAATAAACATGACACTCAAACAGCTGGACTGTCAACAACTACTCTAACATGTTCCAAGAATGGAACCTGGGTGAACCTACCATCTTGCGTTCCTAAAGGAATGTACATTTTAACACATAAATTTATATACTATAATAATTGTACTTCTTTTTAGTATTATTTAACAATTATTTTTCATATTATTTTGAGATTGTTGTTTCCTCTCACACTCAGCTTTAACATTTTGAATTCAAATAAGATTACAAGATTACGAAAATAAGCATGAGCATTTTATAAAAATTTTATTTCATAACAGATTGTGGAAAACTAGAAAACTTAAGTTTGACTAATGTTAATGAAAGGAATTATATGAACGGCACGGTGTTTACATCAATCGCAAACATGAGTTGTGATGTTGGTTTTAAAGATAAAGATGGAGACAAAACCGAAGATGTATCCACCACAATTATAACCTGTAGTGAAACAGGAAACTGGACGAATTTACCAACCTGTATAAGAAAAGGTAACTATGTAAAAAATGTTTACCAAAATGTAGTAGAATACAGAATGTTATTGAAATCTAAGGGTTGGTTACATGTACATTGTTGCGACAGACCGATAGCATACTTACCTAATTATCAATAAAACTGCTATAAAATGGGGAAAAATGAGAAGAAAAAAACAACAACACAGGAAACGGAGGGAACATAAAGTTATTCTTGAATTGATAAACACTCAAAAACAACATTATATAACCCTTTATTTGCTAAGGATGAATGTTCTGCGTTTCATAATGATTTACACAGTTACTGAATAATAAGATACGCTACAACGTGCCGTAACGTAGCGCAAGAATTACAAAGAGAGTAACAAACGTTATCAGAAGAACTCTAGGTCATCTTCAGAGTTTTCACACGAACTCATTTGCAAAATGTGCATAAATATTTGTTAGTCAAAGATTTATGTTTGCAATTTAACATTATAATTAGTTATTTAGGTAATTAAATATGGCAAAGAAGAAAATTACAAATGTACGGGCCAATATGTACGAATGAGAAAATAATTTGGAATTTTTATCCGAAACAACCAGATTTTAAACAAAATGCGATTAAAGTGTGTTTATTTTCTGACAGATAGTACAATATGTAATACAAACTTAATGATCTTAATGAACTTAATGAACCCTAAGATGAAAATTACCAATTTTAACGCGTGTTTTTTTTTTGGTATATAAATATTTTTCGACGACACCTATGATGATTTCCATGTACTCCGTAACAGTTATCATAAGAACTACTGACCAGAAAGCATAAGAATTCTACCCATCTTGTAACGGTTCCTACCTCGTGAAATTGATGAAAACAATTCAAGTTTCTTTTTTTATGATATTGGAGCAACAACTTTGCGTAGCATACATGTTTTTGTAAAACGTATATATATTTGTAGATTGTGGAAATGTAACATATTTAAAAATCCGTAAGGCAGATAAAAGACGTCAAAAGAATGGTACTGAGTATGAGTCAACTGCTGAAATAGACTGTGATGCAGGATTTCATAACAAGGATGTCACCCAAACAAGCGCAATATCAACAACAACTATAACATGCTCTGATAGAGGAACATGGATGAATATACCTACATGCGTCCCCAAAGGTAACAAAGAGAATATAGAATTTAGTCTGAATGAGTTAAATATTATCAGGGAATTTATATTGTTGGTATTTATATAACGAAATGATGATTAAATATAGACGCAAATTGTCACAGACGACTAGTTCAAAAGAAAACCCCAGCTTCCGTTTGTTTTCAAAGAAGCACTGAAAACAAAATTGTCCGTTAATCAACGAATTTGCTTACGCTGCGCAAAAAGAAGAATTTCAAGTATTAAATCATCATTGTAACTTTTAACAATGATATTAAATAGAGAGATATGCCTTAAAGAACAAAACGCATTTGTTTTTATTAATAATGAGTTAAAAAATCGAGAACTATGCATTGAAATTGACATTATGCTCATAGTTTCATTCTAAAGTTGAGCTGAACTGACAACATATTTCAAAAGACTGACTGTTATTATGGTGATTGACCAACAGTTGATACTGGAAAATTTTAAGTATAAATCTGGCTTGAATATTAAAAGACTGTCCTATTCTTTTTATTAAGTGGACGTTACAGGTAAATTCCATGGTATATTTGCAGACATTTCCCTGGGTCACATTACTTATTTATCGTTCATGCAAAGTAAATTACATAACTGAAAGGGTTTTTGACAAAATGTGAACTTATACACACTTTCACCTGCTCACTGAATATATGGCCCTGGATGTGCATAATATCACTTTAAGAACAAAACGCAATAATAGTCTAACATACAGGTGGTAAACCATCTATACAGTGTAATTTGTGCGTGCTGCGGTTCGTCATGGTATAAACAGCTTATAATAAAACATTTTAAGCCAACCATAATTTACAACAATATACATGTAACATTGAATATTTAACATAGCAAAAAGCTGACACGGGTAACTTCCCTTTGTCAATTTTGTATGAAGAAAAAAAAAGAAAATAACGGTATTTAGAGATTTCTTACTTAAGTATTTGTAGTTAATCGATTTTTTTTATTCAAAAGCTGAGCTAGAAATCACCACAACAACCTGTCTGACAAATATTTAGGATAAATAATTCGTTATTTATGTTAAATTCTGATTTAGGCCGTTCCATGGTCGCTTTCACTTGTTTGTACCATCAATGAACATGCTTCATCAAACGGAGTATGCAATACTTTTGACATTTCTAAAAGTGTTTTTGTTATTTTACAATAATTGTATTCTTTTTAATTTTGTTCAATTTGAAGATTGTGGACAATTACCTTTACCTTCGAATGGTACAATCATCTATGTCTCAAACACGACTACATTTACATCTAAGGCAGAGTATGTCTGCGACAATGGCTATCAAGTAAATGGGTCTGACAGTATAAAATGCAAGGATACTGGTTTTTGGAGCGATAATACAACATACTGTCAAATAAAAGGTATGCCATTCAAGTATTATGATACTGATTATATCAATATCAATATTTTTTATTGAGAAATTAAAGGGAAGATTGAATATACGACCCGAGATTTTTCTTAAGATAAAGAGAGTTATCTGTTCTCGATCATCAATATTTTCATGTACTTCAAGTAGTCTGTAACAAGAACAGCAAAGCTAATAAAAAGGAATCTATGACATTTCGACCTCTTGCCAGCTCGACTTGTAAACACCTCGACCCCTAAGCCATCTCGAAACATGACACTTAGACGGACTCCTTTAATTGAAAAGACATTTCGACCCATTATTCTATAATATACACGTTACGTCAGAAAAAAAGAATGTGCAAGAAGTCGTTGAATAAAAAAAGGTGTTTTGTAAACATTTTATTATTTAATTTTACCCATGAAATATGGTGCTATATCAGTCAAATATATTTCATATCTTTTAAAGATAAATATGAAATATAAATGTGAAAGTGGTCGGAGTCAAAACTCGCCTTTTTGTTTGAAAAATCTGATGAATACAAAACAATGTTTTGTTGAATTTTGTTTTAAAAAAACATCTAGAATGATAGAAAATGGTCTAAGAAAATAAATCGAACACCAATATCTGTAATTCAGTCATTAACGCTGTATAGACGTTTAAAGAGATGTTTACGTGACGTCACAATGTAGCGCTAAATATCGCGTACAAAACAAGACAATAATTACATTACTGCGCGCTGTACAATTGCAGTTGTTTAGCAAGCAGAGAGTTCGTGACCATTTTCTTTGAAAATGAAATTAAATAATACGTTTTTTATTTCGTTTTTCGTGAAATATGGTATATATTTTCACTCAACATGATAAAATGCCACATATTTTCACTCGCCGTCCCGGCTCGTGAAAATATGTTGCATTTTATCACTTTTCGTGAAAATATATTCTATATTTAAAAAAAAATCTTCTTAATACTAAACACTGTATATATGAATTTATAGATATATTGAATAATAAGTGAAATCATATTTAGCCGTTCTTTCTTCAAATCATTCTTCAATCAGTGTATAATACATGTATATAGGAAACAGAAACACACTCATTACATTTAAACAAAAATAAGTAGTATGCATGTTTGTATCCATATTTCTTACTTACATTGACAGATTGACAGACATCAAAAGCATAGACATCTAGGTAGGAAACAATAAACTGCTCCTTAGTATTTGTCAAATATGAAAATAATAGTGGGAGCATAATTGATTGATTTCCTTACAAATGTTATGCAATATCTATATTCTTTGAATTGTACAGACTGTGAACAAGTATCACCCCCATCAAATGGTGAAATTATTCTTCATCAGAACAGTACAGTTTACGGTTCAAATGCTTCATACATCTGTGATGAGGGCTACAACATGAAAGGTCAAGCAAACATAACATGCGAAGCTTCAGGAAGCTGGGATTACAATACAACTTATTGCGAAATAAAAGGTTTAAATTCCACTTTAAAATGTACAGCAACTTGTATTTGAGATTAAATTACTTCATTATTATACCAAGGAAGTAATTTAATCATATAAAAACTAACCTCTGAGCAAGTAATGTCTTTGCAAATATACTTTTATGAATTTTACATTCTTATTGGTAAATAATCAATTCTATTTATTTGTTTATCTTTTTGTGATACTAACAGGCATATGTCACAGTGTTCCTGTAAAAACAGATATCCCCGAATACCTTTAATTGCTTTCAGCTATTATATCTTGCTATCAGATCTACATGACTTTAAAATTTTAAAAAAATTTGTTTCAATAATTATAGAAACTACAGAATACACTGAATGCAAAACGCGATTTGAAATACAATTCGGTTAAAATTATTTTTTCATTCCAATCAAAAAAGAAGTCCAATTGGGTTACATGGATTTTCTTTTACTTACGTGTGTACATGTCATTAACTTATCGAATATTGACTATACGTGAATATATTTTTGTAATCACCATTTGAACACATATCTATGTACAACAACACACCATTGTACACGCACACTGTTTCCTCGCTACCATTTTGTAACAATGTTTATGTAAATGTTGTATTTTAGATGAAATTAGTCAATGATATTAATCAAGTCAGGTATAAACATGTAGTTAAGGCATCGTTTTATTTCGAAAAGCTATATAATTACTCATCATTTCATAGTAGATAAAATCGACTCGCACGTTTCAAAAACATATTTATTACTAAGTTTATCATACACTAACATCTACATAGATTGTGGGATGCCAAATGTTCCGCAAGACGCCTCTGTTTCTGCTCCAAATGGTACAAAATTTAAAGCCATCGTTGAATTCAAATGCCATTCTGGATATACTCTACATGGGGATAATACTACAAGTTGTATGCCAGATGGAAAGTGGAAGCAATACACTGTGAATTGTACTCAAAATAGTAAGATATCATTATCATAATATATATTGTTCATACTTTGTGATTAGAATTCTATATTTACCGTTTCAAAATACTGAGTTAAATTATTATTATTATAATTATTTCTATTGTGAATGTAAAAGTCTAAGTTGTTATTACTTTTTGATCATTTTTGTCGTCTCAAACCTTAAAGACTGAGTTTAAATTAATTTGTGATGAAGATATGTCTGAGCTTACCTGTTTCTGAATGTGAAAATATCTAATAACTTTATAACGTAAGTGCTATTTTGATGCGGAATATGACAACTGTAACAATATGATAACTTTTTTATTGAAGAATGTGACCAAGCTGATCATATTGATCATGGTTCTGTTAACACAACATTTGAGTCGCGTGCAATTTATGAATGCGATATTGGGTACACATTAAATGGAAGTCAAACATTAATTTGTCAACTTGACGGTACATGGGACTCAGAACCACCAACTTGTAATGTTACAGGTTTGTTTTGATTACTAGTACTTAAAAAATTGAATATTTATGAAAAAACTCTTTTTTAAATTTAAACGTTGAGAAACTAAATTTGCATAAACGATTTTCCACAAATTTCATTACAGTAACTGTTAAACAACTATAACAGTTCGCATACTTACTATCGAAATAAAGTAAAAAAACCTGATATTCCACTTGTAGTATATTCGAAAATCTTTGTTATCGTTTGTTACATTATAGTTACTATTGATATGTCTGACTCCCACCAATGACAATTTGGAAAGTGTCTCTCTACAACGGCTAAAATAGCTCTATGTGATATATATTCTAATGCGTTTGTGAAACTCAAATCTATACATGAGATGTGGCCATTAGACAGATTATTGTTTGTAATATAAAACAACACCAGAAATATTTATTATTTTGAGATAATATTTGTATAGTCTTGCTTCGTTTTAAAAGCATTACATAAAAAATGCTATATTTATAATTGTTTTGAAGAAAGAATGATTTTCGTTTGATAAGATGCAGTATAATTAATTAGTTCTTCTAAATGTATAAGATTGATGTTTGTTAACGTCTGCTGAAGGAAGAGCCCAGTGCACAATGTCTGCGCTACACGGACTCAAAGCAACAAGAGAACATTTTGTTTTTTATTTCTTATGTATGTATAATTATCAGACATACGCTTTTGAAGGTTATGTTTTGAGATTTGACCATGAACATTGATGCTACACGTGATTGTATTTTCTATTTTGTTTTGTACTGTATTTATAAAGCAAATAAATGTAATTCCAACTTTAATATCTCAATTATAAGATTGTGGGGAAATAATACCACCAATACAGGGATCGGTATCACTCATTTTAAATGAAACAACCTTCAATGCAACTGCAATGTTTAACTGTGAAACAGGCTATGAACTTACTGATGATAAAATGGCAAGATGTAATGCCTCTGGTCTATGGACAAGCAACCCAGAATGCAAAATTAAGGGTAGGCATTTCTTATTACACACTACTTAATTGTTGTATAAAACATAAGTTTTTCGAGCTGTTGATATTCCCAATATTCTTTGTTGAATATTGTTTTTTTATTGAGAGTATAGCTTACAGAAAAACATAACACTAAAAATACAATTAAAAAAAACAACAACAGAGAAACAACATCAGAGTTTTTCGTTTTAGATACCTGACATGTATTATAATAAAAACAAAAATATATCAAACAACAGATATGACTGTATCATTGTATTATATTAACTACAAGTTAAAGTTTAAACAAATAAGTTTTATTGTATGTTCTTTTGTAATATATGCAATTCATTTTCATAAGAGTTCCTCAACAATAAAAAATAGTAAAGTTATACATGTAGTTAATATTATGATGGTCTGTAATATTGTTCTCTAAAAATTTCAAGACTGCATGAGGCCTCCGGATCTTGCAAATGGGAATATAAGTACTTCTAACGGAACAACATATGAGTCTGTATCCACATTTACGTGTGACTTAGGTTTTACATTGGAAGGTGACGACAGTACCAAATGCACTGAAAATGGCACATGGACAATATACAATACTTCTTGTGTAATAAATGGTAAAAGCTTTATCGCAAAGTATTATAAACAATATTTACATGTATTACCAAAGGTTTTAATTTATTTTAGGTTTAACAAAATGACTTTTTGAATAATACTTGAAAACAATGTAAATCACTTTCGAATCTTTCTTTTGAAAACTAACAATAGAGAAGGAATTCGTGAATTTTTAAAGTTTCAAACCCACAAATATAAGTTGAGAGGTAAACACCTTTATCTGAAAGATATTGTTTTCTTAACATTTTCAAATTCATCAAAATTATGTGACTGTTCAATCAATAGTGTTTCGTCATCGTCCGTCCATAAAACATTTACCCACTTCATGTATTCAAATGCCGACTTAACATTGAAATTGTCCTTTATATCATATTTTTATTCAAATAAAGCTCATTACTTTCCAACTTTTTACTAAAATAACGGTAATGAATAAATAAATTGTTGTTAACAAGGATTAATAACAAAAACAACACTTACACAATGGTCAGTGTTAACAATTTTCTGCTAAATAAAATTGAAGCCATCAAACAAGCTGCTAGATGTCAATACTGAGATACATTGCTATATACTCCCAAACAACTTACTTAAAATTTGAATATAAGATTATTATATGTTACAAAGAAATGCTTATTGTTATTTTCATGGCTTACGAGACATTTCCCTTTTTCACAAAAATAGATGTCAAGTACCGTATTGGCAGGTATAAAATGTTGCTCTGCCTTTCACTTCAGTGTTGTTATATTGTTCTGGTTCTTCTGCCCGTTAGTGTTGAAGATTGAATACTGTTGCTAGGGGGCGTAAGAGATAAAATACTGAATCTTATTCCCTGAAATTAAAATAAGCATATATTCCAAACGTGCAACTAAACTTTTACATTTACGTTTACATTTATTTATTTATCTCTCATGAATATTCTCATTAAAACCGAGTCTGAAAAGTTCATAGGCTTTTGATATCTCCTCCCCTTTTCAGATTTTAATCTCTTTATAAAGTTGTTTGTCATATTGTATTTAGACTGCCATTCTCCTAAAATGCCAATAAACGGCAAAGCTATGGCTATCAATGGAACAACTTACTTGTCAATTGCAAGATACGTGTGCGACAAAGGATTTGATCTACATGGATCAGATACAAGAATTTGTCAGGCCAATGGAACATGGAATGGAACAATTCCAACATGTAATATAAAAGGTACGTAATTTGAACATGTTACTTATTTAGAAAAAGATTATGCATTTCCAATTAAGTATTAGCAAATAAGTCTTCCGATTTCTAATTTTTTCTTTACAATGCTATTATATTGAATTAAAGAAACAACATGTGATCAAATATTATCATTATTTGCCTCAGTTTTCTTTGTTTCTTGTTCTTACTCGTAAATATTCAGTAAATACTATCAGTAAAATAAATAACATACACATGTAGTTTTTAAAAGCGTATATTTATAAGAAATATTTATTCATTTGTAGAGCGTTGTTGTAGAAAATTTTACGTTTAATTTGGGTTCATAGGCACAGTAAATAAATCACGAGAGCCGAAAATTACGGTGATTGATTAGATCAACTATATGCTATTGTCCTACGATATAGAAATGAATTTAATCTGATTTGCCGATGGAAATAGTTCTTTGTGCTAAGCGGTATAAAGATTTAGCTTTTTTTTATTGGTTATAAGCAGGTTGTCGCGTGTTCAAATACCACGTACCGTATGGTGTGAAGATATTTCATTTTATTTTATTTCTTTGCTTGCGAACTGTGATTTTATTTTTATTATTGCTTTTAAGGGGCATACATTGTGTCAATTGAGTCAACAAAGTGTCATATTTGCTTTTATAGACTGTGGTGCCCTTCAAAATCCAACAAATGGCAAGGTTAACACAGACAATGGGACAAAATATCAGTCTGTAGCCATATACTCCTGTGATACTGGCTATACGTTAATTGGTGATAATATAACAAGCTGTAAACCATCTGGAAACTGGAGTTTTCACAGTCTCAATTGCACTATCAATGGTATGTATCCCTGTTGTTTCTTATTTTACTTGACATAAGTCTAAATTAACAGCCTTGTAACTAAATGCTCCTTAATGATCATGTTTACATTTCTGAAATTGCCTCCATTTAGTTATAATTATATATTTATATGAGTAACTCCGATTTTTTCAGATTGTGGACCACGAACACAACCAGTAAATGGTTCTGTTCATGTATCGAATGGAACAACATATCAGTCATTGATGACATTCGAATGCGATATCGGTTTCGAAATGAATGGTACAAATACATCTGTTTGTCTGGCTAACAGTACATGGAGTCACGTAGTCCCTAAATGTATCATTAAAGGTAAATGCAAATGAATACTTGTATAACGTCGGCTTTCTTCGAATAATTATGGCACTTTATATTTATTTTTCCACATTATGGAAACAAAACGGACGGTGAAAGAAAAAAATGTTCTCCGGACACAAGTCATGCCAACCGATTAGTCCGCTACAATCACGTGATAAAATTTTGTTGAGCACCCTCATATGCTTGATTTAGGGTAACTATTTGATAATCTGTTTTTAGACTGCAAGGAACCCAACAAAACTGCAAATGGAAGAACTGTTAAGGTGAATAATGGAACAAAGTATAATGACAAGCTGAACTACAGTTGTAACCCTGGATACGATTTAAAAGGAAACGATTCTGCTGTCTGTCAAGACAATGCAATATGGAGTGTAGGACCTCCGGAATGTATAATTAAAGGTGAGACATCGATCACAATAATCAAATCTTACAAAGTGCAGTATGAGCAAAAGAGCTGCTGCTGCAATATACATGTGTAAAGTAAAGCCAATTGTGCATCAGAAATGCTTTAATTATTATTTCTGATAAGAATTAAATTTTAAAAATAAATTTGAAAGACTTAAAAATATCCCAAACGGTTATGCTTTCGCTAGATACCGGAACCATCTTTTTCATCCGTTGATATTTGACAATAAGAACAGTGTAGTGAATAAGAATTGTGTATGGGAGTCAAAGTAGTACTTTGTTTACATTTTACTACTTAAATGACAAGATGATGTTCATTTATCGCTATCAAACATCTAACAGATCTCAAAAACCATTTTCTAAACATCTAAAAATTAATGTATGTTTCCCCATTCTAAAGATGTAAAAGATAATTTATTTCCGAGGCAAAATGTACCTTTAACATCATGTAATTATTGTGCTGACACATTCGATTTGACACAAAATAGGAAACTTTCAATCACTGACTGCTCTGTTAAATAAGAACCTTTCAAAATAAATATATCGTGCGGAAACAATTGCAATATACAGGCATTATACCAAACATGGTATAAAAAAAAGTGTTTCCTCTAATTAAGTATCTTTGTGAAAATAATAGATCGGCGATTAAGTTGTATGAAATCATTTTGTTACTTTGTTATATCCCTTTTTTCAATTAATTGTGATACTATTTTGTTATAAACAGCAACGACGACTATATAAATGAACGGAGATCTTCTTTAAATACATGTATGTTTATATTTATAATATACTTTCTTTGACTATCGCCTCAGACTGTGGGAACCCGAATGAAACAATCCATGGAACGATTATCAAAACGGGCACTGAATATAACGATAACGTTACATATAGCTGTAACCCGGGATACGAAACAACCGACGCCGTTTTTGCCACATGTAACACAGTTGGAAATTGGAGCATACCTGCTCCTGTTTGCAAAGGTACATAATATATATCGATGTATAAATGTATCTTTTTAATTAAAATGGTTAACAATGACATTAATTTCAATAGTAACATACTTTTGGAAGCTAGCTCTTCAATTTTGAAAATTAATATTTTGATAAGGGCATATAGTGAACAGTCGATCAGCATGGAAACACAAAACTACCATACCACACAGTCACTATAATTTTTTTTCGAATTATAAATTATTTTTGTTGATAAGAATTTGGTCAGGTTTAAGGACTTTCTAGGAAATATTTGCAAGATGATAAAATGTTATGTGAATAAAAATGATAAGAATCGCACATGTCTCGGGAACAAAAGTATTTTCCTCGGGTTAATATTTTACTGTTACTCACAAACCTTATTGTTATATATATTGTTTATAAACACTTACTATCCTTTAAATAATACATGTAATTTTTCACTTTATAAAAGACATAAATGAATGTGCTCGTTACACATACGACTGTGACTTGCAAGCTATCTGTAGCAACATTGATGGGTCATTCGAATGCAAGTGTCCCGGCGGGTACACCGATAATTCCAAAAATGGGAAAACCGGTCGAGATTGTCAAGGTATGACGTTTATCCGATCACTTAAATGAATGTTTGTCTTTTCATTTTAAGACCAATAATAATTTAAATGAACGATTTAAAAAAAAGTGACTCGGGGGTTCGACCAGAACGTTTGAGCAAACACATCTTTTATTTAAGAAACATTTTCAGTACTGTTTTGAAGCTCAAGGGATAACTCAACTTCCTTTTTTGTGCCCGTCATTGGCAACATAGGTTTTGAGTGATTTTGAATAGAAAATATTAGAACTAGCACTTTCAACATTTTGTCAGAAAAATAAATGGAAGTTTCGTTTTTTCCAGATATATGTTTATTAGTAATGTTGTTTGTTTATTTTCTATAATTTTCATCCTGTTAAAAAAATTACATCGTGTCTCATCATTCGATTTCACACTAGACTTTCACTATACATAATATTGAATATCAGTATTACTTATTGTATACCACTCATTGTATTTTTACCGCCTCCGTGGTCGAGGGGTTAGAGTCGATGACTTCTAATCCAGTTACCTCTCTGGCGTGGGTTCGATCCCCGGGAGATGCTTTGGTAGTTTAGCGCAGAGGAAGGTAGTCTAGTACTGGTGTAACTCTCCAGGAACGATTGTTAGGAAACTACCCGCCTATATGACTGAAATGCTGTTGGAAAAAGGCGTAAAATGAAACAAACAAACAAACATAACAAACATTGTATTTTACTCACTTATAACTATTCACTGTACCGCAGGTTGTTTATCACTCACTGCTTATCGCTCATTGTATATCGCTCAACGTATATTAATTATTGTATGGCAAACATTGCATGTCACTCACTGTATATCACTCACGATATATCACTCATTGTAGATCACTCACTGTACATCACTCGCCGTATATCATGCACTGTGTGGCAAACATTGAATGCCACTCACTAAATATCACTCACTTTATATAGCTCAATGCAAATCACTCACTTCACAATATTCGTTGTTTTACACTCACTTTACGTCATTCACTGCAAAAACTTACTGTTTATCACGGACTGTACGAGTATATCATTAACTATATCTCAATCTATTCATATCACTGACTGTATATCACTTCCTTTATGTCATTTATTATAATCATACTGTTTGTGTTACTTGATATATCTGAATTTTTTAAAAGAGTAAAAGAGTTATCTTGTTCTGCGGAAAGAAATGTATTTGTTTGAGCGATGCAAAATTAGTTTATTGATAGAAAACAATATTAGATGAGCAGGGAAGTACGTCAATAAACTTTAAAAGCTGTGTAAGTGTAATTTTAGATGACACTTTATTCAGTAAATATACAATAATGTTTGTTTATATCTATTTACTGTTTTTATCAATATAAAGACATAGATGAGTGTGCAGATTGGAATAAAAGTCAATGTAATAAGAAAGGATCACAGTGTGTTAATTACCATGGAGGGTACGTCTGTGTTTGTCATCGAGGATGGACTGGCACTCGCTGTGAAAATGGTATCTAAACCTGAAGTTGTATGACAATAAAGTGACAATAGACAATAAAGTGACATTATGCCCATCCAAGGTGTCAAAGTGAAATTAAAATAACATAATTGTCTTCATTTCGATAAGTAACATCACGTGAGAAATAAAAGAAACGTGACCTTAATATAAATCTATAAATGTGCTTCGGGAGATATCGGTAATGTTTAATTTAAAAAACAGAGATTGGCAGCCATCTACATTTTAGGCAGTTTTATATTTAATCCGAAACATTTATAAATATCAATTATTGTGCAATCACCATTAGAATAGTCAAGGGGTTGAAATATATGATTTACTTATCTCAGTTTGACAGTGAAAGAATGGGCAAAATGTCACTTGCAGAAATTATGCTTCATGCATGGAAATATTTGAGCATTTTAAAAATAATTCATTATTCACAGTTAAAGGGCTATCCAATCTGCTTAAGATTCTATATTCATTTTGAATTTTTCATAGAAACATTGTATCAAAGAAGTTCTATAATTTTAAGTTGTAAATAATTTCCTTAACAATGAATTGATATATTTCGTATCAAAGACGAATTCAACAATGTATTAATTGTTCAATAATTCAGACAGCATGCTTTTGTGCATTATACTTTCAACTTACTTGTTTCGAACTCGTTAGTGCGTCGTGGTTAAGTAGTTATTGTCGTAAGCTTCAAAATAGTTGCCACTTTCCTCTATGAATAGATAAAAATATTCTGATTTGCATAACATGTTTTAGATCGATAAATCTAATGATTTATTTTACAGATATTAACGAGTGTAACGATACATCTACTTGCGGGAAAGAAGCTTATTGTACTAATTTTGACGGAGGTTATAATTGCACGTGCAATGAAAAATTTCCGAAAGGAGATCCAGCATTTCATTGCTATGGTATTATAAAAATTTACCATTACTTTCCTTGACAATTTCCTACCGTCTTTAATTATAAGTCAATATTTTTCGTTCTTCAAAAAAATATCTCGCAGTTTCCTGATTTGATTTATTCTTATAAAATATATCGCATGTCAGCCAATAAACATGTTTTTTATACACCTATAAATGAAATAATGAGAAAAAATGATGAAATAAAGTGCGTATTCTCATTTTCCGTACTTTCACTGTAAAAAAATATTATTCACTGCAGTGAAACATATTGTCCGTACTTTAACTAACTGCTCTTGCCTGACTTCTTTCTTCTAAATTCAAGCACTGCTAAAAAAATAAGTATTTTAACTTGCAATTTCTAAAAAGATATAAACGCATTTAATGAACAGATGTTTTCTTTAAATACAATAATTATTTTATCTTGTCATATGAAAACTATCATCATTCATTCGTGGCTTACGCCACTCATAAAAATATCATTTTTCATAACACTCGATAAAAATAAATCATGTATTTATAGAAAAAGGTACCCTCTATATATCTTGAGAGCTGTTTCACATTTTCATGACAAGGACAACAACCGTTTATCAAAATTAAATGAAAAGATTGAACTTCTAACACTTTCATTTTATGTTCCTAGAAAACGTTATCATTGAATTAAAGACACCTGTAGCACCGTTCAGGGGAGATAATGAGCTGATCAACTCTTTTCCGATACACAACAGGTTTCCGTATTTTGGAAAGGAGTATAAATCTTTTAGAGTAAGTCATAACTGTGGGATATTATTAAACAGTTTAGACAATTTGTTTGATCGATAAAAATACGTTGTTTCTTCTCCATATATTTACACAGCTTTTAAAGCGTTTAAAGTATATATCATAATGCAAAAATTATGTTTTGAATGTTGAAAAAGACTTCTTCCATTTTGCCAATATTGAAATATTTGTTGAGACTTTACCTTTTAGAGCCGGTGCCTCATGCACGCACTCATCGTTTAACGTTAAAACCCTACTTATATTGTGTTTGTATACATCATTTAGTTTACGTACATGTTTTGTATACAAGTGTGTTAAATAAAAAAGACATTCTATGTTACAACTGTTTAGAGATCGACCATAAGATCATTAAAACAATATAAAGTTTAACTGTAAATAAACTTAATTTTATATAAGATATTTCATTAGATAAAGCTTGTTCAATACTCTTTCATAATTTTATATAAATGTAAATTTTCAAAGTAGTGATACGATAAATAAAACAGTGCTCTTATGGGTGTTTTCAAGTGAAGTTAAAACGTCAGCATAGAAAAATCTTACATCGATATAAATATATGTAGATTTTGTTCGTTTCTTATTCACAGCCGAATATGAATGGTTTTATCACACTTGGCTTTCAACCCTTGTATCAGAACTATGGACCAGAAACCCCTACTAACTGGAAGACATTTAGCGAAGGTCGAACTGTGATAGCTCCATTCTGGACAAATCTAGACTCTACTAATCTCACTGGAGGTGTTTTTGTCCATCTCATGGAATACTACAGAGGTGATATGAATGATAGTCGACACAAAGACCTGGAAATGTTAGGAAACAAATTTTCAACGTCCATGAACCTTACAGATTTTCACCCGCGTGTTGCTATTGAAGTCACGTGGTTGAACGTTACAAAATCATCATATATTATACCAACAAGACTCATAAAATCTCAAGTAAGTTGAAAATTTATCATTTAAAATGCATAGAAAATAGATGGATAACGCATCTCTTTATTTTAATTAACGCCTGCAGGACACGACATGATAATGCATTTTAACATCGTGTAACCCGGTCGGGGTACTTTTTAAGTCAGATGGCTTCAGCAGATGGTATTGCAAGAAAAAGGAAGGTGCATAAGTCTACTTTTGCAATAAAAGGTCATCAATAAATCTGTAAATTCCGCGTTTCAAAATTCTTTTTCGTTTAAAGAAATCGGTAACCTCATGCTTTTCAGTTTCGAGTGCAATGTCATGTGTCATTAAGTATTGAAGAAAAACTACCCAGGCTGCCAGTTAGCTAAATATACATGTCGCTTTGAGTCATATATAAAGAACATTCTTCTTGACAAATAACTACAAATCTTTAAGAAGTCAATACTTGGGAAGAAATGGAGAAATAGGGAGACAATTCACCAGTGAGAAAAATCTAGCAGAAATTCTGGTCGTCGCTATTTCTGCTTTCTTTCAAGAAAACATTATAAAACCTATTTTTACGGAGTGAAACTTGATACAAAATTGAGTTCATGACCTATCTTACGACATACAAATCACTAGTTTTCTCTTTGACTCTTAAATAGAAAACATAACAGACAAACTGTTTGAGACTGTTCTAAGTGTATACAATTTATTTAAAATGTTTTATTTATCTAATGGTAGACGTTTTACCACATCGAAAATGTGTTATTTCACAATCACAAACCTATTTAACGTCGAGTTCCTTGTACTTTCAGAATGTGACAATGCAATTGATTCTTATTTCGGATGGTATATATTCATACCTAATGTTTAACTACGACCATGAGCAGTGGTCACTTAAACTCGACAAGAATATACCAAGTTCTGCCGGTTATAGTTGCAAAGACAACGATGTTTACATCTTGGCAACAAGCAAAAATGCAAGTCTGTTGAACAACGATACCAACGTCAAGACGGGTAAAGTTAACTGATTGTATTTCTATAATAATATATATCCTTAGTTCATTTTGTAATCAATTTTGTAAGATTTTAGATACTCTCACTTAGTATTAATGTTAATCTGATAAGAATGCACACTTTTGAAGCATCTTCATCTGTTTTTTGAACGTTCATTGTTTCTTTCCTACAATGATGTTCCAAATTGCAAAAATGCATACTTATGTTCATTTCCATTCACACTATAATTTTCAATAGCTCGAATAGTGACTTAAATTTACTTTAGTTTAATGATTCGCTCTCAACATACGAAGAAAAACCATTATCGAAGATTTATAATTTCGACTATTTGCAAAAGAAAATGTGTCCTAAATTTCGGCTTAAATCATTTGTTATTTTCCATCCTTGAAGATCGTTTAACATGACATTATTGTAGTGTGTGCATGTATGTCGTGTTTTACATGTAGTCCTTTGTCTTGATAAGTGGTTCCAATATATACCTACTTGAATACTAAGATATATGGCGCCTGGCTTTTGAGTTTCTTGTTTGACGCCTTGTCTGTGACATGTTTGCTTCGTGGCCTCTAATCGCCTTTAAACACCACGCTGTTTTCTCGTTTAGGGCGTATGCATTCTTTTACTTGGGAATTATACTTGCCAGTATGAAATTGACAAATTAAAGGTTCCATAATAATTACAGTATGGAAACATTTATGAATTGTTTTAAAACCATATTTCCCCATGTTTTCATGTTTAAATGTCGAACGTTGCTTTGGTCGGTGCTGGGGGCAAGGACGGTGTTTTTCAGTTACCATTACCTTCCATGAACAGGCTCAATCAAACAGAACCTTCAACAGTTTTGCCGCTTTAGGCATTTTAATACGGTCTGTTTTTCTCTATTTAGGAATCACCTGAAGCTCCGTTAACACTTTTAAATTGGAGATTTAAAGTTATATACAGTCCAATATGGGCCAGATACCGATCAAATCTTTAGATAGTTTCATTAATATTTCACAAAAATGTTTGACTGGTGCCGATTCTACTATTTAATATTTTGTACTTATATTACCTAAATACCGATTCATCTTTGACTATTTTGTTTTATATTATATTGTTGGACTGTCAATGTTTCGACTGTTAAAATGTTTGATTCTTATATTGTGTTGGCTGCAATTTCATATATGAGACTGATACAGATAAGATTAATTGTTGATGTTTTTCTTATAGTGTTGGACTGTCATTTATTGGATAGATGCCGGTCCAATTGTGTAGATATTTTGTTCTTAAAACCCATTGCTGTCATGCCAGTTATTAATATTAAATTATATGCTTTCCCAAGCTTTTAATATTAAATTCAAAAAATGGAACCGGGCGCTTACATATTTAACATATAAAGTAATCACAGTTATTTCCTTAATATAACTACAACAAAATGTATATATTTTTTCAGGTCCTAATGGAAGGTGGATATTCGACGTTACAGATGATAATCAGAATACAATTGCCGTTTTAAAAAACGAATCTGAGTGTCTGAAATTTAGTAAAAATGAAACAATACGTATATGGATATCGAAACAGCGATTGTTATCGTACGCATGTCCATGTACCCAGCAACAGATGGACCTCGACTACAGTTACCGTATTGTGGAACCAATGTACGAGAATTCGAGTCCTAAACCAACATGTTATGAGGCGTGGTTCTTTAACAATGACGGAGTGAAGCAGACATGCTGTTACAGGTATATATGATTTGTTTTAGAAATACTTGTACACGGAAATCGGATTTAAACATTAATTGTAATTTGTACACGAATAGTTATTTTAAAGAAATTGAAAAAAAAAATGAAAAAATGAAAACATTGTTTTATTTTTAATGTTTTAGCTAAAAAAGATGGTATCTAAAGTGGAAAATAAATAATAAGGAAACGCAAAATAGCTCGGAAATGCAAAATATCCTGGAGACGCAAATGCCACGGAAAAGCTGTAGAGATAGTGACTAATTTTGTGTTGGACATTATAAACACTTATGCTGTCTTATTTTTGACGTCATTTGACACTCGAGCTTGCCTTTTTCAGGGTCTTCGATTCAGGCATATGGTTAAAATTAAAATTTATTTAAGTATAAGAGATTCTGACTGAATATGTTTGATTTAAATAAAAGATTGCACAAAACCATGTTTAGAAAGCTGCGTGTGCTATAACTCGTCAGTTCAATTTTGTCTTTTTTTAAAGAAACCGTCAGTTCTTAAACGACACTATGTATTTACAATTTATACTGTGTTTACCGATAGTGTGTATTGTTTAAGTACAGTATCATCTTAATAATAAGGCTGCTTTGTAGACTGTTCAACAGTTAAGAATGACAATTTTTGGCATGCTTTAACAGAAAGCTTTGACAAATTAGTTTAAGAACTATATTTTTTTAATTTTCAGCTGTAAGTCCCATACCGGTTTAAATGGATGGGACTTAAAGGTTAACCTCCGTCTGTCCGTTGGTATGTCTGTCTGTCCCGTCCGTCAATGAAATCTGGATCCCATGATAGCGCAAAAAGGAATGAAATATTTTCTATGAAACTTGTAGATGGTGGTCTGGAGATTATGCGCGTCTTTTTATTTATTTTTTATAATGAAATATTTGGTTGCTATGACAACAAAAAGTCTTCGGCTATCGCAAATCTAATACAAAAACTGAATCCTCTGATAACGCAAAAAAGTACTGAAAATATATTTTATAAAACATAATTATTATTTCTAGATGACAGAGATAATGAACTTCTTTTTTCTATGTTAAAAAATACTTCATTCCTATTGCAACAAATATTATTTTAGTATGACAAATAAACAATATTTGTGATAACTCAAAACCATAAGAATAACCCCACCTATTGACCTTAGAATGTCCATGCAAAAATGATGTCCTTATTGTATAGCTTCTTTATTTTAATGTTTTTACTTCAATCTTTGATAATTGTTTCGTATTACGTCACCCACATTATATGTTGCAAGGTTCACAGCACCAATATTTTTAGAATTACAAACCTTGTATCTACTTCAAATTTCAAGTTTAACTCAAATCATATGTGAAAAGATTCAGCATGACTATGTCAAGAATTATGTGCCCCTTGATCTTATTTCTGTATATTATTTTCTTCCCATTTCTTAAAAGATTTACTTTAAATTTTTACATCATATTAATACAACAAGGTTTAAAAATCTAGCGTCCATAAATCCAGAATTATCTTCAAATAAACTCTTATTTTATCTTATTTATTCTTTAACTTTCTTATTTCTTCATGAATTTTCCTATACATTTAAATATACAGTCATTATCAGGGGCTATTTGATTTGTGATTAGATTTATAAGTCTTGTGATAATTTTTGTTTTGAACTTTATTTGAAAGCTATTATATGTGTCTCCCTTGTCTTCTTTGTTACTATAAATGGTATCTACCTTAGTCTTCAGATAATTGTTTTCTGTCATCTCTTATGACATCTTTCATAATAAATGACAATGTTCATAAATATTGCATCTTTATTTCAAGAGTTATCTCTTCTTAGTTAAATAATTTTGATTTTACAAATGTTTTATTCTAGTTACTACCAGGTATTGTTTTGTAAAGATTTTGCATCTGTCTGTCAGTCCTACTGTCTGTCCGTTCACTTTTAAAGAACTTGAAATTTTTCTAACAAATCTACTTACAAAAGAGAAAGTTGAAACATAAGTTATACAAATTTATCCTAAGAAATTTGGATCTGATGACTATCTGCTGTATAAACATAATTTCCTTATTAGGCAGGAAATCATAACACAATACTATGATACAAACAAACTAAGAACTTAAAAAATTTAAGTCCATTCCTGTCTTCCACAATGGCATTTACGCATGTCGCTTGGGTTCTAATCGGTAGGGGACTTTTGTATTGATTGCATTTGTTTTTGAAAATTGCTTGTTCGAACAGGTACTAGTAATAAATCCCTTCGAACCAATATTTATGTTTTCGTGTATGTATGTTGATTATGCTTAATTATGATTTCGCTTAATTTTTATACTATCACCTATGTGTTATTTTAGATTTCTGTCCAAGTACATGTAGTTGTTCAAGTGTGTTATACAAACATCTCAATATGTATTTAAATATGAGTGTATTGTTACTTTGCTTTACCATCGTACTGGCTTACTGTCACTGTCGTACTTAGCGCGTTTTGTTCTCAGAGAAAACACAAACGGAACACCGTAGTTTTCAGCGTTTTATATAACAAGCCAGCAGGCATTAATGTTTTTCAGTTTGTAAGCAAACTGTGAAAAAAGATATTAAATACAAGGAGGTCATTGAAAATGTGTGATAGATCTACTAGTATTAAAGTTTTTTTTTTTTTTTTTCAAGATTTTATTTATTTTTGATTTTTTTTATTATTTTTAGTTATGGAGCTTTGAAGAAGGATTTTACAGGAGGTGGTTTTGCAACTTTCGAGCCGGACACTTACGATATCATTAAATATTTCTACATGTGCTGCGATCCAAACACCGACAGACACCTGTGTCATCTTTTTTATGAAATGAATCCGCCTGATGACTGCTCTAGATTTCAACCTGCAGACGAACCCATTAGTAGACACAAGCGTTCAATTCTTAGTTTCTGGAATAGTGGGGCTTGCAAATCATATTCAAGCGTTTCGTATATGATGATTGTTGTACTTGTATTCGTAAAGATAATTATTTAATTATCAAAAACAATATTCGTTGATATAATGTTTCATTACTGTTTGAAAGGTGTTTATTGTGGAAAGACTGAGGATAAAATTTTGTTTAAGAAGATAAAACTAGAAATTTGAGAAAAAAATGAAACACTTTTTTGCATATTATGAAAACTTCTAAAACCTTAAAAAGTGGATCAAATATACTTCTTTCTAAACAATTTTGTTTTTGTCTGTGTATTAAAAATGTATTATTATTCTTTTCTTAGTTGTTTTTGGATTTACAAAGAAATTGCATACCTAGTAGTATTGAAATTTCATATTTGGAGATTTTTAGACATAATAGGACTAAAAATAGCAAAAGAAGGTTTGTCACTTATCATCGAAAGCATGTAGGTAACGTGTAGAAATTTAAACTTTACAGTCTGGTCTATTAGACTGACGCTAACCAGATTTCTGCTTGTTGTTTGTCTTTAAATTCAATTGATTCACCAGCGGACATTATGTCTCCCTATGGATGATTTCAAATCCTTAATACAATCTTTAACACAGGCGCCTGTGACATATTCTTCCTTTTTATCAACACTCCTGCTCCGAGGACCTCTTACGTCATCCCTTATTCTTGTGTAGTTTTCTAACAATTCTCTAGCATGGTCTATTTTCTTAGGACCCTGAATCCATCCCGATGAACAAAACTGTTTGTGAATCTTAGAGTCCTTTCAAAAATTTACACAAATTTATATTTTCACAAGTGACATTGTCAGCAGTAGGGTATCCCTGAATCAACAACCTTTTTTGTGCCCAACTTTAGTGGCGTGCATTTAGATTTACCCTTGTCCGCCCGTCCATCCATCCGTCCATCCTTCCGCACTCACAGGACAGTAATTATGTGGCTAGAGGGACAATAGGTAAATGTTCTTTCTTTTTGATGTCATTATTTCCGTAATGCTTTTATGTGGCTATTTTCTTTTGTGTGGCTAAAAAGAACAATAGAGAGAACAATAGAGTAGCCACATCATTACTGTCCTGTGAGAACGTCCGTCCGTCCGTTCACTTTTGTGTCGCACGTATTAGTATTTTTAGAGTTATTGCCCTTGACTTAGTAAAATTTTGCATTTTTCATCTTGTGTCGCATGTAACTAAAAAGGGATTTGACATAGAGTCATGAAACTTTACAGGAATATTGATCAACATGTGTAGTTGTGCACCTGGGTATTTTTGTCTGGATTTATTTAGTATTTTTAGAGTGATTGCCCTTGACATAGAAATTTTTTGCAATTTTCAACTTTTGTCGCATGTAACTCAAAAAGGATTTGACATAGAGTCATTAAACCTTACGGGAAGGTTGCTCAGCATATTGAGTTTTGCACCTGGTGTTTCGCTTGTGGATTTATCCAGTATTTGTAGAGTTATTACCCTTGACTTAGTAAAAACTGTTTCATGATGATGTTAGAATCATCCAACTTTGCAGGAATAATGATCAACATCACTAAATTACAGGAATATTGATTCACATCTCTGTGAAGCTATGAACCTGGGACTTTGCATGTGGATTTTTTCAGTTTTGTTAGAGTTATTGCCCTTGACTAACAATAGTATAAATTTGCAATTTTCAACTTGTTCATGCATAGCTCAAAAAGTATTTCACTTGTAGGCCTGAAATTTTACAAGAATGTTGGTCAGCATGTGTACTTATGCACTTTGGGGTTTGCTCGTATCTTTATTCAGTATTTGTAAAGTTCTTGCCCTTTAATTAGTAAAAGATTTTTAGTTTTCAAAAAAATATTTGCCCTAGAGTCATATGTTTGATAGACCAGTGGCGCGGTGGGGGCACCCGTGTCCTATGGACACATTTCTAGTTTCAGCTTGCAATATACTCAGCTAGCATTTCCATCTCACGCAAGTATTTTCGATTCCTAATTGAGCAAAATATAAAGCAGTAGATCATTTTTCTTTAAATCTTTTAGTTAGCACCAATTAATATAGATTTAACTGTTGAACGTGTGTTATCCAACTTGCTTCAATACGCATTCTGCAGCCTCACCTTGCAAACTTTTACCAGACGAACTAGTCGTCGCTCTTTGTTCTTGCAATTGCAAGCTATAGCCATGGCTGAAATGGATTAATGCAGTTATCCCATGAATTGATTTTTTCCCATCAAAAAGAGTTTGTCTGAGGAGTGATACATCATACATTCTGTGTAAAATTCAATTTGATTTCTCTTTCCAATACTTGACTGTGATCCAATTTTTGGTGACAGAGCTATCAAGTTGCCATATCTGATTACCTTTCTCGATACAATAGTTATATAATTAATTAATTCTCGGTTGATACTGATTCACAACACTTCTCTCTGTTGCACGCACGGCTTATTGCTCTTTCTTCCAATAGCTTCTTCTAAATTCCTGTTCTTTTATTATTCTTCAATTCTTCGTTTTCCGGGTAAAACTGAATTAAGCATTATCATAAAACAGTATCACCAATTTGTTCTTTCATAAAAATTGAAGTTCCACCAGTTTGTTTCTTTGGTCCTATTTTAGAAAATTTATAATATACAGTTTAAATAAATGTCTTTTCAGATGGTCACCTTACAATCTTTCCTTAACGTGTTTAAAACCTTAAAGCCGTTTGATGCCCCAATGTTACAACAACTACTCAGCTGACTTAATAGTAGTTACGACTCTCTCTCATATTTACAATTTTAATCCCTCATATGATAAAAAGAAAAACACAAATAATAATTATCACTGCTCAAGCGTCGTTTATTGATATACATATTATTTCTAAGTTTCTTATCTATGTCATCCTTTTGAATTATCAGTGTTTCTCTTTCTCTTATATGGTTTACAAGCCGTTATTTAACGTCTCTTGGCGAAAGGCAAACTCTCAAATCCGTTATCCTGACTCTTTGATACTGAATAATGATTCTAGAGTGCACCTCATACGATTTTGCACAAGTATTTATAAGAAATACCTTATCATTCCATATTTTGAGGTTACCCTAGTGTTAACTGACACAGATAAACCTTCTATATTTATGACAACAAGTTTCGACCAAGTTACCATATGACAACAAGTGTTGACTAAGTTATCATACCAGAATCAAAAAGAGTGATTCCTTAAAAATCTATTATGTTTACCGATGCTTGAATTACCTAAACATTACAATTGTAGGCCTTTAGTCCAGATTTTATAATGCACAGGGTAATCATACTAAAATCACACATACTGGTACACAATTAAGTGTAACAAACGAAGTGTCATTTTTTCACTCAAAATCAACCATTAAATCAAACCTTAAATAGTTGCATTGCTATAACTACAACAGAAAATTTGCCTATAAGTGGAGTTTTCTACCCAAATGTAAATTATTTTGTTTTCGTTGTTTTGATTTCTGGGCGAACTTTCATTTTCTGGATGTCGATAAGGCTAAACATATTTAATGATGACCCGCTATCTATGAACACATGAATATCTACGTCATTTACTTTAATGTTTTTCTTTATCACTCTTTCAATCGGAAAACTTTAATCCAAATAACACATCGCACTCATTCGAACTGTAATTCCCCGTGCTTACCTCTGAAACAACCTTTAATTCCGGCTGTTCATGTCAATTAATTTCACCTTCTTTGTCGTTTTCTACAGACCGATATAAAAGTCTTCTTCTTATGTGACATATGGGGATATTTCCTCCGAAAGCAGGGCAATGTGACATATGGGGATACTTTCCTCCACAATTTCTGCATGTTTTACATTGTTGTTGAGGGTTGTTTTGCCATCCATACGACGGGCTTGTTTATGGGAAATATGTAGACTTAAAACCTTTACGGAGGCTGTCTTTCTTTTGCATTTTCTTCTTATTATTTTATTGTTTGACTGAGACTTTATAATTATATAATATATATATATAATAAAACGATGCAACATCTTTTTCTGAGGCGGATGAGAAGGATATGTTTTAAAAAATGACCAAGGGTCATAGATTTTCTTTTATGACAATGCTGTGAGTGTAAAATAATGCACAGAAACTTGGTCTATTGAAACAAAGAGAATTAGTCGTTTATGGGTGACCCCCCATTTTGAATGTATCTAAATGAAAATCAACGCCATTTTCCAATAACGATACAATGTAACTGTTTGGTTAAAGGGAAGCTGTGTTCCGGCAAGAGTGCATTGAAAAACTGAATTTCACCAATATGAAAAATATTAAATTTAAAATGAACAGATTAACGCTTTTTAAAATGACGTCCCCGTCTTAGCCTTTTCCTACTTCCATAAAAATGTTTTAAACTGACACATTATTATAATCGTGTTTTTGCATACATTCTTGAAAAAAAAAAATCAATTTTCAATCAGTATTTTTTTTCAAAGTCAATAACATAACAATCTATTTCAAGTTGCTTTAAATCGTCTTACTTAAGTGCAACTTGTCTGTGAAAAAAACTGTGTGTGACAGTTTATTTTAAAAAGCAAACAAAAAAATTGTGTGTGACTGTTTTTTGTGACAAGGTAAATATGTAATTTTACTAACTTTTTTTTCTGCCAAAAGTCATTTGGTCTATATAATCGGAACAATTTTCTGAAACTCTTTTTATTACAAATTACCAATCGAAGCACTTCGACGATTTTTAATAACAATTTCAGACTTGATACTTATTACAAAATAGCTTAACCATCTAGCTTAAGACGTAAAATCACAGAGGGTGTAATATTTGTTAAAAGAATAATATATATTTGACATCCCAAGAACAATTAAGTCTTTTGCAGTATAATTATGATTGAAATATATGTCTGACAATCATTAAAAAGTTGAAAGACCTACCGATGCATCTACATCTGAATAAGTACCAAAAGAACATTTTGAATTTCAGGTATCTACAATAAAAACATAATGAACACCTTAAAAATTACTAAAAATAAAATGTGCATATCGTTACTGATCACAAGTAATCTGTGAGAGCAGAAACTATCGGTAAGGAATTTAAGCTTTCAGCAAATAATTTAGTAACTGTTGTATTTTTGAAAAAAAAAACACTAGCCGCTTCATTTCCATATTGTTGACAAAAATAGTTAAACGATCCGAGATTCTGGCCAACCTCTGTTTCATTCAAGGTACCAGTTTCTTCAAATAAGTAAATAAATGGGTATCAGTGCAGCCCGTTCTGTTCAGAGGACTGCACATGTCTTATAGCTGTAGTATTGGTAATCTAGAGACAGGGTACAAAACGACCTGTACTGGGCTAACCTGAGCGACCTC